ATGCTGTGGAATGCAACTCCTAATTCCAGACTGCGAGCGTCTGTGCTTCGCTAAGCAATGGAAATCCACAATTCTTCCTGTTGGGAAGTCTTCAATACCAAGCCCTCCTGGACTCCCGCTGCTGTCATTCCCAGGAGGCTCTGCCTCCACATGGTGCCCAAGACTTCAGTGAATCAGGCACCAGGAGCTTTGATGATGAAATGGGACCCAGGGCTGAGCTGACAGGTCTGATCTGGCAGAAGTGCTGCTTTTCTGCATCTCAGGCTGTGGAGATGCAAGTTCTTTTATTTAGCATTAGCCAGCTAACACTGTTCAGTTGCTTTGTTAACGAGACACGCACTGGCCTAGACCCCTGGAGAGGTTACATAGCTCCCACGTGGTGGTGGCCCAGGGAAGGTGGATTTCTTGCAGCCTGTTTCCTGGTGCTGGAAAGCCTTGCCTCTCTGCTTTCCATGCTCATCTGGGAGCAGAATCCAACAGATCTGGGTGCAGTGACCTGGCTCTTAGGGGCTCAGCTGACTTCTCCTGTCAAGTCATTACTGTAGCTCAGCCTGGCTGGTATGCAGGGGGAGACAGCCTGGCGGGATGACCACAGATGTATCTGTGCTGCCTCCCACTGTCCAGCACTTCAAAAGACATTGTACCGCTGCTGTGGCTAGAAAAGCCTCAGCTGGTGGGCACCTCAGAGCCTGGGGAAGTGAGGATGATGCTTTAAATGGTGATAGCTACCTGATGTCTCAGAAGACAGCTCAGGCCTCAGCCCCTGGGCATTTCTCCAGAGGCTCACCACTTTAGAGCCCAGTAACACTGCTGTGATGGAGCATCTCTGCTGCTTGGCACCAACATGCCAACCTGCCAGAAGGCCTCAGTGGGTGTGCCAGTGTCTTTACTACATCACCACAACGCAAAAGCCCAGGACCACCTCATGTTCTATGGCACCAAGCCATAATGGAATACTGCATCCAGTTCTGGTATCCACACCTCAAAAAGGAGGCTACAAAATGGAGACATTCAGAACAGAGCTACAAAGATAATCTGAGGTCTGGAAAGCCGACCTAACAGTTGTCTAGTTTACTGAAGAAAAGGTTAGCAGATGACTTGATCATGGTCTACAAGTCCCTATGGCTACATCTACCCTGCAACAAAAGAGCCATGGGCACGGCTGCGGCCGGCCTGGGTCAACTGACTCGGGCTCCTGGGGCTCAGGCTGCAGGGCTAAAAACTACAGTGCAGACAGTCAGGCTTGGGCTGGAGCCCGGGCTCCAAAATCCCATGAGATGGTTGGGTCTCAGAGCCCAGGCGTCTACACTACTATTTTCAGCCCGCAGCCTGAGTCAGTTGACCTGGGCTCTGAGACTCAGCGCTGCAGGTTTTTCAGTGCAGTGTAGATGGACCCTGTGTAGGGAGAAGACTCTTGAGAGCAGCAGGTTCTTTAATCTAGCAGACAAAAAGGCAGAACAAGATTCTCCAGCTGGAAATGGAAATCACCAGATTTCAAACTGAAAATATGACAAGTGTTTTGAAACACCTCGGGTGCTGAGCCATTGGAACAACTCACACGGGCTGGGCTGGGGTCTCCTGCACTTGGAGTCTTTAGAGCATGACTAAGTGATGGCCTTCTAAAAGATCTGCTCTAGCGCAACCGTATGGCCTGTGTTATTAGGTGGGCAGCCCAGAGGGTCCTAAATGCCTTAAAACGCTATGAGCCTACACTAGATCTTACACAGCCCTAGAGCTGTAGTATTGCAAGCAGTCATAGCTATATCCTTCTGAAGTATGAGCCCCATTTTACATATGGAGAAATGGTCACAGAAATTACAAGACTTTCCCAGGGTCACGTAGGAAACCTTCGGCCAGCCACAAACAGAACCTGGATCTTCTGGGTCACAGTCCAGTGCTTTAACCACAATGCCCTAGTGTCAATGCATCAAAGCTCCTTGCCTTCCCAAAGCCCCGAACCTTCACATACACATGCCTTCATTCTTTTGGGCTCAAGAGCTGTTGCGCAGTCTGACCGTAATGCCCTCGGGGGCAGGTGGACAGAAGAGCCATCTAGAGCCTGCCGCTGTCTTTCAGCAGGAAAGGGCCAAAAATTACCCTGAGATGCAGAAGTTGTACTCTCTAAAAGTGGGAGGAGCCCTGGCTCAAAAAGTCTGCCAGGCAGAGCACTTCCAAGTAGCTGGGGAGATAATACTTCAAATGCAACCCAAATCCCTCACAAAACAGGAAAAGTGTTAACATGCTTCCCAACCAGCCAGGCACTGAGCCTGCCCAGAGTAGCTGTCCTCAGCCCAAGGCTGCCGGCTCGAATGAAGCTACTGGCCTGAGCCCTCACAAACCAAGGTGTTCTACCAAGGTCTACGAGAATTCTTTGAGGGGGTCAATAAACATGTGGAAAAGGGGGATCCAGTGGATATAGTGTATTTAGATTTTCAGAAAGCCTTTGACAAGGTCCCTCACCAAAGGCTCTTAAGCAAGGTAAGCTGTCATGGAATAACAGGGAAGGTTCTCTTATGGATTGGTAGCTGGTTAAAAGGTAGGAATAAATGGTCAGTTTTCAGAATGGAGAGAGGTAAATAGGGGGGTCCCCCAGGGATCTGTACTGGGCCTACTCCTATTCAACATATTCATAAATGATCTGGAAAAAGGGGTAAACAGTGAGGTGGCAAAATTTGCAGATGATACAAAACTACTCAAAATAGTTAAGTACCAGCCAGACTGCGAAGAGCTACAAAAGGATCTCTCAAAACTGGGTGACTGGGCAACAAAATAGCAAAGTAATGCACATTGGAAAACATAATCCCAATTATACGTATAAAATCATGGGGTCTAAATTAGCTGTTACCACTCAAGAAAGAGATCTTGGAGTCATTGTGGATAGTTCTCTGAAAATATCCACTTAATGTGCAGCGGCAGTCAAAAAAGCAAACAGAATCTTGGGAATCATTAGGAAAGGGATAGATAAGATATAAAAATATCATACTGCCTCAATATAAAACTATGGTACGTCCACATATTATTGCATGCCGCATCTCAGGAAAAAAAAAAAAAAAAAGATATTGGAATTGGAAAAGGTTCAAAAAAGGGCAACAAAAATGATTAGGGGTATGGAATGGCTGCCATATGAGGAGAGATTAATAAGACTGGGACTATACTGCTTGGAAAAGAGATGACTAAAGGAGAATATGCTAGAGGTCTATAAAATCATGACTGAGCATGAAATAAGGAAGTGTTATTTACTCCTCATAACACAAGAACTAGGGGGTAACCAAATGAAATTAATAGGCAGCAGGTTTAAAACAAACAAAAGGAAGTATTTTTTCACACAACGCACAGTCAACCTGTGGAACTCTTTGCCAGAGGACGTTGTGAAGGCCAAGACTATAACAGGGTTCAAAAAGGAACTAGATAAATTCATGGAGAATAGGTCCGTCAATGGCTATTAACCAGGATAGTCAGGGATGGTGTCCCTAGCCTCTGTTTGCCAGAAGCTGAGAATGGGTGACAGGGGATGGATCACTCAATGATTACCTGCTCTGTTCATTCGCTCTGGGGCACCTGGCACTGGCCACTGTCGGATGGACTTTTGGTCTGACCCAGTATGGCAGTTCTTATGTTCCAGGGCCACTCAGCTTTGAGAAGCTTCCTCTTCTGCAAGCCTCTCCACCCCACACTTCACACAGCTCAGGGAAAGCTGCAGAGACTCAGCAGAAGCCACTTGCCAGCCCAGAGGCGAGAGGCTCCACACCTGCTAATAATTTACACTGGCACTAATGAATAAGGAGTACAGCTGTGCTGCCTAAAGAGCTAAAGCAGCAGAAGGCAAAGCCATGTGTGCAGCTCCTGGGGGGACTGACAGACATTCGGGGGGGGGGGGGGAGGGAGGGTAATTGGACACAACATGGAGAGGGTCAAGACTCCAAAGAGGCAGGAGTGTTCCCGACTTTTCTCCAGCTGGAAGCTTGTGACCCAGCGTGCGATTTGGCGCAGATGGCCTTTCCATTTCAACTGAAGAGGAAATCACACTGTTGGATCCAAGAGGGCAGTGCTGACTGAGCAACGCAGTGACCCCAACACCAGCATGCAGTGTGATTTGCTATGTAGTCCCCAGAAGAAGGACTTGACTCCCACTCGTGCCTGATCCATTGGACCACACTGCTGCCTTCAGTGGGCAGTGTATTGACATTGCTCAGCTGCTAACAAGCTTAATTTGATGAAGCACTAACAGAAGCCACTGTCAGACAGCTTCCCCTCCCCCCCTCCCACGGTGCTTCACAAGCCCCGAGATTCATACTCAGGCCTTGTCTACACTTAAAATGCTGCAACCGCGCCGCTGTAGTGCAGTAAAGACATTACCTACGCCCCGATGGAAGGGCTTCTCCCACTGATGTAGGTAATCCACCTCTATGGGAGAGTGGGAGAATTCTCCCATCAACGACTGCGCCAGGGGTTAGTTTGGTTTAACTGCATTGCTCAGAGGCTGTGGATTTTTCACACCCGAGCAATGTAGTTATACTGACCTAATTTACTAGTGTAGACCAGGCCTAAGTGGGAAACAAGGTAACCATATCTATCTATCTATCTATTTGCTTACCCCGGCATCTAGAGCTCAAGGCTACCCAAAAGGGATTTCATAGTACCCATAACAGGCACATATTACTGGTTACCCTTCTTCTTTGGGTGGTCAAGTAAATGCTGGTTTTGTCTAAGTTAAGCAGAATCTGTGAAAAGTGCCTGCCTGCCCTTCTAGAGGGAGACCAACACTTTGTGGCCTCCAGCTAGGGAGACAAGCCACAGTCAGATCCTGTGCACAGGGTGAAGCATGGGCAAAGTTTGAAGCAGCTGTGCTGCAGAGGACTGGTGGCTGCCATCAGGCACAAAAGACCAACCCAGGGAGAATAAGTGAAGAAAGCCTGAGGGGCAAAACAATTCCAGCTGGACACAAGGGCTCCTTGCCCTTGATGTTAGAAGCCTGAGGCGGATGGAACTACACAACTTACCGAAGGGAATGCTGAAGAAGGGGCTGCACAGGGCCTTTGCAGCAGTGGCTCTTTTCGCTTGGTCATCATGAAGCATGCTAGAAGACAAAGGGAGACGTCATGTTTTTGCACACAGCATCCCCACAGCAAAGGCAGTGATGAGATCTGCATTTCAAGTGAGACTGGAACCTTACGTACAAACCCCACAGCACATCTGCCCCCTTACAGCACTCTCACACGTGGGATTTCTGTGCACTCTCTTTTGTTCATAGTCTCTGAGAATTTCGGCGTTACAAGCACCTTAAAGGGCTTCTTACAGGAGTGTTTGGTGAGTAACTTTTCCAGACTCCTCTACCAAAACTGAGTTTGGAAAGCGACACTTAGATTTTAGCACAGGCCATGCTGATGAGTGGTTTCATTTATACCATCAGTTATAACCATTTCTAGCTACAGGTCCATGATTGAATATTCTCCTACAGATGCTGCCCTATGGCTGCTCCAGAGTCTACCCTTTCACAGTGAGATGGCTGTTCTCTGAAAAGCCTCTGCATATTCCCATTTACAGGATGGCAGGCGACCGTGCCACAGTGACCTAGAACCTTCTGGGGAAAGCTGTGATCACTGGGGCTCACAACACTGGATGCTCAGGGACAAACGTCTATCCCCTCCCCCAGCCTCTGTTTTTAGGTCCTCTTCCCCAGGGGAACTCTGATTCAGCTGCTGCTCAGAGCTTCCCCCACTAGCAGCAGGGAAGTGACATGACTGGAGCTCCATTGCAGCCCACCAGGCAGTCAAGTCAGTTTCTTTGCTGCTAGAGTTATTGATTTACTCTGCTGCTACTTGGGAAGGATCAGAGCAGCAGCAGCGGCGCTGAGCCCTCTCCTCTACTAACTTAGGAACTGCAGATGCTCCTATTTGGACCTTATTGACATCACAGGGAAGGCATTTTTCCAAACATGTTTCATCTACTGGCTTAAAGAGATGCTGCCAACGCCTCATCACCATCAATATTTTTATACAAGTTCCCCATCACCCCATTCCCCGGACGGCAACAATGGGAGTGCTAGCATAGGCAGGCCACCAATGTTCTCTACACCCACTCTGTGCAGCCCTGCTCACACAGTAATTAGAATACCAGGAGTCAGGCACTCCTGGAGCTGCACTGCCAGCACAACCATGGGAAAGTTTCAGGAGAGTAGGCAGCCTAGGCAAGGACTGCAAGACTCCTTGGTATCTGAATGCAAGACAAACCTTTACAAGTAGAACAGTACTGCTTGGATCAGCATACATGTACCTCAGAGTAACATGTAACATTTGCTATTTGCAATATACCTCTTGATAAGGTCTCTGAGGTGATAGGCTGGGATGGCTGAATTTACCACACCTTCACTGGCAAAAATGTGATCAATGATGGCAGAACTGTTTGTCTGGAAAGCAAAAGCAACCAGGGTTAGAAGGAAAATAAAATCCTGGGGTGAACATTCACCAAAACGCTGAGACTGAGGGGGCATTTCCTATGGGTAGGGCCCTACCAAATTCATGGTCCATTATGGTCAATTTCACGGCCAGAGGGTTTTAAAATTGGTCAAATTCACAATTTCATATGTTTACATCTGAAATTTCATTGTTGTAATCATGGGGGTCCTGACCCAAAAGGGGATCATGGGGGGGGGGGGGGGTTGCAAAGCTGTTGTAGGAAGGTCACAGGATTGCCATCCTCACTTCTGTGCTGCCTGCAGAGCTGGGCTCTGAAGGTAGCAGTCCCAGAGCTTCCTGCAGCAGGAGGAGGCTCCCAGAGGTGGAGGTGAGTCTGATCTCCCAGTGCTGGTGGGAACACCCCAGCCAGGGGCTACTAAAGGCTAGCACTGGCCAGTGGCGGATTAAAGCATGGGTCCTGGCCAATTTGGGCACCCTGAGCTGCAGGTGGGGGGGGCAAGCACCAGCACCCCAAGCCATGGGAGGTGGAAGCCCTGAGTCCGGGCAGAAGCTGTGGGGTGGAAGCCCTGCGCGCAGCTACATGGCTGCTGCAGCGCAGAAGTGAGGGTGTACCACACTCACTTCTGTGCTGCCTTTGGAGGTAAGTCTAATCTCCCCACTGAGAGCAGCTGTGCAGGGGAAGGACAAGTCCTGTTTCTCCCTAGCTCAGCCTGGACTAGCAGTTAGGAGCCTCCAGCTGGGAGGCTCCAGCAGAACGGGGAGATCAGATTTCACAGGGATGAGCTTATTTCACGGTGTGTGACACATTTTTCAGTTCCTTACTGGGAGTCTTTCTGAATGATGCCTATTGCCAAGAGAGGAGCTGGAAATAAAAGTGACCATTTCAGAGCAGAAATGTGGAGTCAGTCAGTCAGACATGCCTTGCAGCACTCTCCTGTCCTCAGTACACTCCCAGAGTTAATAAACAGCCCTTCATTGTGAGAGTCGCACTAAAAGCCAGAGAAAGTTATTGCTTTGTCACCATGCCACTGAACTAGTTTGCAGAAACGTAACTGATCTATTTCACTTTCCATTCTGGTGTTACACCAAAGCTGGCAGTCTTACAAACAGAGCCAAGATCTAGGCTAAGTGTACACTGCAGAATTTTGTCGACAAAAGTGATGTCGCTCTAATTAAGCCACTGTTGCATATCCACACTATGCTCCTTGTGTCAGTGGAGCGCATCCACACTAGCAGCTCTTGCATTGACACAGATCAGTGCACTGTGGGTAGCTATCCCTCTGTGCAACTGGCCGCAGGGTGCTTTGGGAAGGGTTTGCAATGCCTCCTGGGGCAGGTACAGCATCATATGATGTCGATTTCTTGGCCATCCTGCTAGATTGGCAGCTTCTTTTCAACTGAAGTGTGTGTGTGTGTGTGTGTGGGGGAAGACAGTGTGTGACAGGGTGTGTGTGGGGGGGGGGGGAAGAGTGTGTGTGTTGGGGGAGAGGGAGTGTGCTGGCACGCTGTCTCTAAGTTCAGAGCAGTCGAGCTCAAAACAGTGAACAGAGCGGTCACAGCAGGCATTGTGGGATACTGGAGGAGGCTAGTTCTGGTGATATAATGAACAGCAGCGTCTACACTGATGCTTTGTCACTTTAAGTTTGCCACAAAAAGCTCTCTGCCTTTCGTGGAAGTGGTTTGATTTTGTCACCGAAACTGAAGAGTTTTGTTGCCAAAAGTGGCATTGCAGTGTGTACACCTCCATTGTTTAGTCGCCAAAAGCTGCCTTTTGGCAACAAAACTCTGCAGTATAGACAAGACCCTAGACAAGACCCAGTCCTGGAGCCTTAGCATTTCACCCGTCCCACAGTGTGAATTCAGGCCCCAAAGAGACATCCCCATCCTATGGACAGGTGCAATTTTAGTGCTCCAGAACAGTAACTCCCAAGAAGGCTGAAGAAAGAACTAAAGGGATGGTTTCAATGCATTTTCTGGGCATTGGGAATAGCATCATATAAGCAGGATAAAACAAGGGAGCACAAGCTCCTCCAGCATGAACAATGACCCTGGATTTGGGAATCCAAAGAGCAGCTTTTCCTCACCTTCCATTCCTGAGATTGGACAGTATGTTTCAGTTTCATTCCTGAGAACATTTCCAGTAAAACGATTCCTAGACTCCACAGATCTACAGCAGAGGTACATTCCGTTTCACTCTGGAGCCCCGCCTGAGCAAGGCAGTTCTGCAGCTCTGCCTCTGGAGCCCGATACCCGTCTGTCTGAATGTATTTCACATCCTAAGGAAGATCGAACATAGAATACTAGAACCAGGATTCAGCCAATTCCCTCCCCCCCGCCCCCTTATACCAGCTTCCAGAGTCCTTTCCAGATAGGCCAGGGGTTCTCAAACTGGGGGTCGGGACCCGTCAGGGGGTCAGCGAGGTTATTACATGGGGGGTCGTGAGATGTCAGCCTTCACCCCAAACCCCGCTTTGCCTCCAGCATTTATTAAAAAGTGTTTTTACTTTATAAGGGGGGGGTCACACTCAGAGGCTTGCTATGTGAAAGGGGTCACCAGTACAAAACTTTGAGAACCACTGAGATGGGCAGCTTAACAAAAGCTTGCTAAATCTCCAGGTGTTAAACAGCCAGCCAAGTTTAGAAAGGTCAGTCTGTTTTGGTAGCCCAGTCAGCAGTTTGGTGAGACACTTTAAGAGAGAACCACCTTCCAGTAAGAAAGCTAGTGGCTCATTTTGACATCAGTGATTTGTATTGGAGATGAAAGTGAAAGGCAGAGCACCAATATCAATGCAAGCAGTGTCATCCTGGACCAGTCCAATGATCATCTGAACAGATATCCAGTCTCCTGCCAAGGAGAATTCTAGATGCTTCAGAGTAAGGTGTCAAGTCTGCATAATGCTCCTCCAAAAACTAATACAGTATATAAGGACAGAGAGGACTTCTGGGCCTAGCTCATGATCAGCTTATGTCAGAGCAGAGAGGACTGATAATGGCTTCTGTTCAAATACTAATATTTTAAAGCTAAATCCTAAACAAACATCTGTAATATGCAGGCAGGGAACTTAAATATACTTTCCCCCCAGCTCTCCTCTTCCCCCACAGTCAGAAAAAACTGCAGCAATCAATTCCTGTTCAGCAGCGACAGCTCTGCCTTTTGCTACTGAAGAGAAAGTAAAATGCCTATACGCTGCCTGTTCAAAGAAAAGAGAGATGGCAGCAGAGGAAATAAACTACATGCCCCCTTGCCTTTATAGGGCTGCTCAGAAGCATCGTTTTAGAGTCAAGCCAGGGCATTACAGCAGAAGAGAAGAGTTTGAAACTAAATTCTCCAGGCAAAGTGTGGAGCCAGCCAACTTTACCAGGAACCCATTCAAAGAGAATTCATTTCAGTTCAACTAATTGACTGTACATCTCTTGCAGATTTATTCTCACAAAGTGCCTTTCATCCGAAGGAGCCCAAAGTGGCTTGTAAACTTCAAACTGACATACGAGCGGTATAAAAAGATCCCTTCACCCACTCTAAGTGCAGACATGTTTGAAGCAAAACACGGCCGAGGTTTAACCACCCAACTAAACAGCAGCTTAGGGCAGAAAGATAACACTGGCTAGCTAAAACCGAGAGGATATAGGCCAAATATAATTCCCAAATCTGGAATTTAGCCACCTCTGCCATCGGGAAGAGCCAAGATCACTGGTAACCACAAGTGGTTGAGACCTCATTTTACCAGAGAACCTCTCTAAAAGCCCAGCACCCCCTAGCTTTAAGTGATAGAAAGGGAGATATTTTTATTTAAAAGAGGAGAACCATGTCAAAGAGGCCCAAGAGTCAGAAGTGAGGAAATTGAAAATCACAGACAAGCAGCCCTAGTGGTCACAGAAGGCACTTACGCACCTAAACAACAGGGGGAAGAGGACAAGCCAGCTTCAGTCTGTTCTCATGGCAAGGCTCGAGGTTATTCAGGTCAACCTGGATGGCTCCCAACACCAAAACCAGGAAATTCAGCCCAGCAGAAAGGTCCAAATACAAGAAGCGAATTAGGATGGTTAAGAAGGAATTAGAGGAGCAAACGCGACGGGAAAACCTCAACACATTCTGCTAGGCAGAGTAACAAGTCACTAGCACAGCATGGCAGACAGCCACTGGTCCCGAAAGCACTTCAGAGCAAATTGGCCATGCCACTAACTAAAATATGCTCATTAAAATCAGCTACTCTACCAGAGAGCTCAAAGATAGCAAATCAAATGGATGACCTTGGCAATCAGACAGTGAGCCTTGCTTTCAGTACCAGGCCAAGTGGTTGAAATAATTGAATCATAGAACATCTAGATGAACAGGATACAAGAGGGACAAACCACCACCACTTCTGAAAAAGAAAATCATGTCAGTCTTGTCTACTACTATTCTTAGTGGGTGTCAGCCATAAGGTGGATGAAGGAGAACCAGCTGACAGGCAATCTGGACTTCAAAATCCCTCTGACAGACCCCTCACAGGAAGCTATTAAGGAAACTAAGTAGTCCCAGATGAGAGGTAAATTAGTGTCATATGTTAACAGTGAGGTGTCCTACGGCTCCTTAGGAGGACTAGTGCTGTTTAACATATGAATGATCCAGAAAAGGGGCTGCCCAGGAAGATGACGAGATTTACAGATGACAACATGGTTTAAGTTAGCTGAGACAAGTAAAGCCTGAAGCACCAAAAGGGGTCTAACAGAGCTGGGTGAATGGAGGCTGCATGGTTTCAGATGAAAGTCGGTGTTGATAAATGCACGGTAGTGCACATCAGGATAAATAATCTGAACTGTCCATACACCGGGGGCAGGGGTGGGCGGGCTCCATATTAATGCTAGGCACATGGAAAAGGAACCAGGACATCCTTGCAAAGAGCTCAGTGAAAATCTGCTCAATGTGAAGTGGCAGTCAAAAGATCAAACAGAATGCGAGGATTCATTAATAGCATCACCCTATCTTGGAAGGCACATAGCAGAAAAAGAGGTCAAAAGATGGGTGAAAACTGAGTGACAGTGAAATTTTCATAGGAGAGACTGAAAAGATGAGGGTTGTTAAGCAGGAGGTGAATAAGAAGGGACATAGGGTAATGGTCGTACATAAAATAAGGAATGCTAGAGGAGAGCCTGTAGATTTATGCACCTGTTTACCCTCTTGCACAATACAAGAACAAGGGACTGTCTGTGAAATTGAAAAGCAACACATTTAAAAAAGGCATTTAAACCCAATGTTTAATCACCCTGAGGAATACACAGCCACAAGGTATCAAGAGACTAAGATCAAGAGAAGGATTAGATATTTACATGGATAATGGGAACATCTGCATCCTGTTAGATGAGATACAAGCTCATGTTCCAGGGCACAGGCCAGGCACTAGCTATCTGGGTTTAGGAAGAAACTGACCCTAGGGGCCTACTACTTCCTAGCTGCACCTTCCTCTGAAGCATCTGGTTATCGGCCACAATATGGACCACTGGTCCGACTGGGTCTTCAATCCCTACATTCCTACAGAGCTGGATCATTGGCTCAGTAATGATCCACAGAGACGGGTAACCCCTAAAGAGTCACCAGCCCAGCAAATCCACATAGCTGCAGACAGTTGACAGGATCACAGCACAGTGACATGAAACAGAATTAAGTGCTCCTATAAACAGTGTTCCAAACCTGATACCCCTCTTTGAAGCTAAGCCCAAAGTCAATGAGTTTAAAGCACTCTTCCTCTGCGCTCCACAGGATGTTGCGTGGCTTGAGGTCTGCATGCACATAGCCTTTGTGGTGAAGGAAAGACAGGGCCTCTAACACATCACGGGCACAGTGCTGGATCATCCACATGGAGCAACCCTGATGGCTGGAGTAGAGAAGCAGCTCTGACACGCTGATGTCCAGCAGCTCCAGCAGGAGGCAGCGAGAAGGGCCATTTGCAGAGAAGTGGTTGGTGAACACGCCGTACAGTGTCACTGGAATCAGACAAGGGCAAAGCTGGTGAATTCAAAGTGACTCCAAGTTGAGCATCAGACCCGTTCTGCTTCCCTTTAGATCAGCGAGGGAGCATACGGAGGCTGAAAGCAAAGAACTTGCTCAGCTGGGCTTGGAAATCCCCCAGCACAGACAGGCCTCTGATGCCTGCCTCTCCCCTCACATGACACCTGCACTGTCGTGGTGGGGAGGGGAAGAGGGAACGGGCTGGTTTGGGAGCGTACAGAGCCAGCCTGCTAACCCTTTTCTTGCTACATTTGCACTTTGGACTCCAAGCAAGGAACCAGCAGATTATTCAAAACTCCTACTGGTTCTGCCAGAGGCTGGATGCATGCTTCATCACTTTTCCCTTCCCCCACCCAGCATGGGCACAAGGAGGCAGGGCATAGCAGCCTGCAGCAGCATATAGGTGGCACCTGGTCTCAGGGCAGACCCCCCTCCACACTGATCTGCCAGATGCTGCAGGATGAAAAGCCCTAGAACACAGGAGGGTACAAAGCACCCCCCAGCTTCAGATCCCACCCTGGCCCAAAGCACAGCCTGCCCACGTGGGGGACTGGGGCTGGTAATTGGAGGTTGTGGGGTGGGCTGTCCTTGGTCTGACCTGATTACCACTGCTGCAGTGGGCGAGTTGTGCAGAGGGCATTCCCATGCCCGGTGCTGCAGGGGACTGGTCGGTAGCCCTAGGTGACGACCCTGGCATAGTTCCTCAGGCTGCTGTAGGGAGGAGGTGTATCCAGTTCCCCAGGAAGGGGTCCCAGCCCATTTCCAACATTGCAGTGGGGGCCCCCATCAGGATGTCGCTGGGGCAGGGAGGGTAATGTCCCCATCCTGGCTCAGGAGAGCTCGGGTTAGAGATGTTGCTGGGAGGGGCTATGGGCCCCAACACAGCCTGGGGGAGGTCCCAGTTACCAACACTGTGGAGGGGGATGGGAGGCCAGGCCAGGGGTGAGGGGGAGCCAGGGTCTCTGTCACTGCTGTGGAGGGGTCCCGGCTCCTGATGTAGCAGTTGGGGTGTGTGTGTCTCGGCTTGGTGGGAGATCCCAGGGAATGGTGGGGGGTCCAGGTTACTCGTGTTGTGATGGTGGGTAGATCTCTGTCCCAGGGCAGTTGGGTCCTGGCTCCTGATATTGCAGAGGGATCAAAGACGGGGAGGAGGGGGGAAGAATCTTGGTTACCGATGTTGCAGTAGGGGAGTGGCAGTCTCTATCTTGGGGAGGTCCTAGCCCATGCAGGGGGTCCCAGTTACCTCATGCTGCAGTAAGAGGGGCCCCGTTCCGATTACTGACATTATAGCTGGAGATAGAGCACCACTGGCCTGGCGGTACAGGGTTGTGAGCTAGTGAGGGAAGAGACCCTGGTTACCAATGTTGTTGAAGGGTTGTAGTCCCTGATGTTATGGTGGGGGGGCCAGGCCTGGTGGGGGTACTGGCCCTGTTACCGATACTGTGGTGGTGGGGAATGGAGGTGGGCATTCCAGCCCAGTTGGACCAGCCCAATTACTGATGTTGTAGCGTGTGGAGAGGAGGATGTGCTGTGGTGGTGCAGGGGGAAGGGGGGGGGCAGGGTTGGCAGGGGCCAGGGTCCCCATTACTGATGCTGTGGAGGGGCAGGGAGAGGGGGACCAGGGCTGGCAGGGGCCTGGGTCCCTGTTACTGATGCCATGGGGGTGCAGGGAGAGGGGGGCCAGGGCTGGTAGGGTTCAGGGTCCCTGTTACTGATGCCATGAGGATGCAGGGAGAGAGAGGCCAGGGCTGGCAGGGTCCCTGTTACTGACGTTGCAGAGTGGGATCGGGGGGCCCTGGTTACTGATGCAGTGGTAGGCCTGGGGGGTTCTGGTTCATGAGGCAGTAGGGATCCCAGCTACTGATGTTGCAGTAGGGACAGGGGGTTGGTGGTTCTGTGCCGGAGGGTGGGGGTACCACAGTTAGCAGTGTTGTGGGGAGATTGGGGTGCAGGGGTCCTGAATCCTGATCACTGATGTTGTGGGAGGGTATGGGGGTCCTGTCCCAGCCCTGTCTTAGTTACTGGGGGTGGGAGTAGGGGGCCCAGGAGGGTCTTAGCCCAGAGGACTAGCAGGGGTCCTGATTACCAATTTTACATAGTGTCCCAGCTGGAGGTGCTGGGGGTCGGGTCCCAGCCTAGTTACTGAAGTTGTGGGGGTGGAAGTATGGGGGTGTGTGTGCTGGCCAGGAGGTCATGGCAGAGTCCCAGATGTTGCAAGGATTAGGAGGAGTGGTCCTGGCCGGTCCCAGTTACTGGGGTGGGGGGTCCAGGTTGTGGGATGCAGGGAGGGTCCTGGTTACAAATGTTGGGGGAGAGTGCAGGGGGTCCCAGTCCAGGCATGCAGAAGGCCCCAGGTGGTTCCGGTTACCCATGTTGCGTGGGGGATCCTGGTTACGGATGTTGTGGGAAGGGTCATGACCATGGAAGCCTGGCCTGTAGGCAGTGCCAGGGGTTCTAATTACTGATGTGTGCATGTAGGGGGTCCTGTCCTGGGAGAGGGATGCCAGGGGTCCCAGGTACCTGTGTTGCAGGGGGGTCCAGACCCAATCCCAGTTACTCAGGGGTCCTGGCCAGAGAGTTCAGGGGAATCCTGGTTACTGATGTTGCTGGGGGAGTGTGGGGCATGTCTCAGCAAATCCCGGTTACTGGTGTTGCTGCGGGGGGGGGGGGGTGATGGAATTCAGGGGGGTCCACAGCCTAGGGGGTTAGAGGGTCCCATTATCAATGTTGCCAGGGGTAGGATGGGGTAGAGTATGGGGGTAGTGGGGTGGGGTCCTGGTTACCAATGTTGCGGCAGGGATGGGGTAGAGTATGGGGTCTAAATGGGGGGGGGAGGAAGATGAGGGGTGTCCCAACTGGCCCCGGTTACCAATGTTGCCAGGGAGTGCAGGGGCTCCTGGCTGGAGCACACAGGGGTTCCCAGTCGGTCCAATTATGGGGACTTGGAGGGGGCAGGTGGCCCTGGCTACCGATATTAGAGGGACAGGGAGTCTAGGGCTGGCCATGCAGGAGGCCCCAGCTGGTCCTGGTTACTGTGGTGGGGTCCTGGCCCAGAGGATGCAGGGTGGGCCCTGGTTACAGATGCTGGGGTGGTGGGCAGAGGGTCCCACCAAGTAGCACAACAGGCTGTCTGTTACTAATCCCTTTACTGATGTTGTGTGTGGGGGCGGTTCAGGTTACATGTTGCAGGGAGGTGCTAGGTGTCCTGGCCAGTGCCGGCGATCAACGCTGCTGGGAGGCGGGGGGGTCCTGATTACTGATGTTGTGCAGGGTCCCGGGGGGCCAGTCCCGTTACCGATGTTGCCGGGGAGGGTGTGGGGGGGTCCCGTTACCGATGTTGCCCGGGGGGGGGGTAGGGTAGGGGGGTCCCGTTACCGATGTTGCGGTGGCCCCGCAGCTGAACCAGCGCGGCGCGCTCCTTGCCGAAGCCGTACTCCGGGGCGCTGCGGGCGGCAGGCCCGGGCCGCGCCGGGGGCACGAACTCCTTGACGGCGCCGAGCAGAGCGCGCGAGTCCCCGCAGCAGCTCACGCGGAAGACGGAGGCGGAGGCACCGCTGCCGAGCTGGGCCTGCACCTGCCACAGGCGACCCAGCGCCTCCAGCAGCGGGGCCCCGGCCATCGCCTCAGCGCCCGCCGGGAACAAGCCGGAGCTCCGCCCCCGCCAATGGACCACCCCTGCCTCCCTGGCCCTGCCCCTATGACTCCGCCCCCGCTGACCCCGCCCCCTTCCAGACCCTATACACCCCGACCAGATCCTATAGACTTCCAGCTTGCGCTACACACACATCAGACGCTATACCCCCACCAGACCATATAGATCCTGGACACCCTATACACCCCCCAACACCAGACCCTGTAGATCCCCTACCAGGCTCCATACACCTTATATATCCCTTGCCAAATCCTATACACCCCCACTGGGTCCTATAGGCTCACCACCAGGCCCTATGCACTCTATGGACCCTTGCCTGACTCTACAGACACCCTCACCACCAGACCCTATACTCCTAATAACTCCATAACCTGCTATAAATTCCACCAGCCCTGGCATATTGGGCTGTATTAGTAGGAGCATTGCCAGCATCTCAAGGGAAGTGATTATTTCCTGCTATTCGGTACTGGTGAGGCCACACCTGGAGTATTGCATCCAGTTTTGGTCCCCCACTACAGAAGGGATGTGGACAAATTGGAGAGAGTCCAGCAGAGGGCAACGAAAATGATTAGGGGGCTGGGGTACATGGCTTACGAGGAGAGGCTGATGGAACAGGGGTTATTTAGTCTGCAGAAGAGAAGAGTGAGGAGGGATTTGATAGCAGCCTTCAACTACCTGAAGGGGGGTTCCAAAGAGGATGGAGCTTGGCTGTTCTCAGTGGTGGCAGATGACAGAACAAGGAGCAATGGTCTCAAGTTGCAGTGGGGGAGGTCTAGGTTGGATATTAGGAAACACTATTTCACTAGGAGGGTGGTGAAGCACTGGAATGGGATACCTAGGGACATGGTGGAATCTCCATCCTTAGAGGTTTTTAAGGCCTGGCTTGACAAAGCCCTGGCTGGGATGATTTAGTTGGTGTTGGTCCTGCTTTGAGCAGGGGATTGGACTAGATGACCTCCTGAGGTCTCTTCCAACCCCTATGATTCTATACCTCCATACCCTGCACTCCATGTACACACCTATATCCCTCAATACAGCCCCAATACCTCCAACTGCCTCTATATCCCCTATAATGCCCATTGGCCCCCATATACCCCAATACTCCATAGCTCCTGTCTGCCTTTATACCTCCCTATAACCTCTGTATTCCCTAGACTTCCCATAAGCCCCATACTTGCTATGCACCCCAATATCCATCCTATACTACCTCCCCTCAGGTCCCTATACCTCACACTATCCTATAAGCCCACCTACACTTATGCCACCCTAGAACCCCCATACCTGCTACACTACCCATAGGTCCCTATAAACCCCAATACCCGGTTGCCCTCATCTATCCCTATGCTCCTCTGTAATTCCCATATCCGCTGTGCCTCCAGAGACTCCTATGTTGCCAATTCTGGTAATTGTGTTTCTTAAGGCCTTAGGTTCTGGAGGCCTGTCATTAGGGGAGAGTGTCAACTTTCATTTAAAAAATAAGTTTCTAGCCCGCCAGGTGGTGGAGAAATGTTTGAAAACATGACCTGAGCCAGGGCCGGCTCTGGCTTTTTCGCCGCCCCAGGCGAAAAAGCTCGCCGCTCTCCCCCCGGCGGCCGGGGGGAGGGCGGCCAGAGCGCCGGGGGGAGGGCGGCGAGCCCTGCTGTGGCCCCGCTCTCCCCGGCGGCCGGAGCGCCGCGCCGCCGCCCCCCTCCAGGTGCCGCCCCAAGCACCAGCTTGGGTGCCTGGTGCCTGGAGCCGGCCCTGACCCGAGCGATCCTTAAAGACTCAGAAATCTTCACACCAAGAAAAACAGCCCAACACCGATGATTTCTTTTAAATATCATAATTTTTAACCAATCTCATGATTTTTTGGTACCCAACTCACTCTTTGGAAAAGGATCAGGTTGACAATACTGTCTATTCTATACTTATTGAACATGCAACTGTCTACTTTACTGAACTGGGTGAAAGCTAGTGATCTGCTTGTGTGTGTGAGACAGAGAGAGCAAGTTTGGAGAGCTGCTGTATATTCCCCCATCCCCAACACACCACCACCCACAGGATTTGAAGGCAATGGGGCGACTCATGTGAAGTGAAGCTTGGGATCAAGGCCTCAGTGAGGGTCTGTTGTTGTTAGTCTGAGATATCTACTCACCCTTACTCACATGTGCAAGTTTGAACTCATCAGCAAAGCTGGATCTGAGGCATTTCTCCCCATCCCCCCGCACAAGAGGACATCTTGTCAGAGATGTGTGTGTCTGTAGAGTGTCGTGCACCTCTCTCTGGAGCAAGGAGTGGGCATATCCAGCACCATCAATGTCCGGTGACAGTGCCAGTGCCCAGGCAACAGGTTACACAGGCACTTCCTCTCTGTGTCTGTAACACAGTTTTGTGTGTAAAAAACAGTTACCTACCTTCCGTAACTGTTGTTCTTCTAGATGTGTTGCTCATGTCAATTCCATACTGGGTGTGTGCGCAGTGCTCCATCGCTGCTGGAGATTTTTCCCCTAGGGGTATCCATAGGGCTGGTTCTGGCAAACCCCTGGAGGCTTGCGCTTATGCACTAGTATAAGGGGTGCCTCCAGCCCTGCGCCTTCTCAGTTCCTTCTTGCCACCAACTCTGACGGCGAGGTAGGAGGGCGGGTAATGGAATGGACATTAGCAACACATCTCGAAGAACAACAGTTACAAGAGGTACGTAACCATTTTTTCTTCTTCGAGTGCTTGCTCATGTCGATTCCATGCTAGGTGATTCACAAGCAGCACCCTAGAGGTGGGCTCCGAGTTCACAGACGTGCAGCTTGCAACACTGCTCTGACGAATCTGGCGTAATCTCTGGCCTGTTGGGTGATGGTGTAGTGCGATGCAAACATATGCACTGATGACCAAGTTGCGGCCCTACAGATGTCCTGTATTGGTATATGTGCCAGGAAGGCCACTGAGGATGCCTGAGCTCTTGTGGAATGTGTCTTTATAATGGCCGGCAGCGGGGACCCCTTTTTTGTAGCAGGCTCAGATACAGTCTGTGATCCAGGAGGAGATCCTCTGGGCTGACACTGGAAGGCCCTTCATCCTGTCCGCTACCGCAACAAAAACCTGTATTGATTTGTGACAGGGTCTTGTCCTGTCAATATAAAAGGCTAGGGCCCTTCTTACATCCAGAGAATGCAGACGCCATTCTTCTTCTGACATCTGCGGTTTCAGGCAGAAGACCGGCAGAAAGATATCCTGTTTGATGTGAAATTGTGACACCACCTTGGGCAAAAAGGCTGGGTGGGGACACCGCCAGACCTTCTCCTTGAAGAAGGTGGTATAAGGGGGTTCAGAGGTTAAAGCCTGAAGCTCAGAAACCCTTCTGGCCAAAGTGATCTCCACCAGGAAAGGGACCTTCTAGGGGAGTAGCAGAAGGGAGCATGATGCCAAAGGCTCAAAGTGTGGTTTGGTGAGCCTAGACAGCACCAGATGCAAGTCTCAAATCGGGATGGGGGCACAAACCTGCAGATAGAGCCTTTCCAGCCCTTTGATAAATCTGCCCATCATTTCCTGTGTGAAAACCAACCTGCCATAGATCGGGGGATGGAACCCTGATATTGCCACCAAGTGGACTTTTATAGAAGACAGTGACAGGCCTTGGGGCTTTAGTTGGAGAAGGTACTCTAGGATGGACTGCAATGATGTCTGCATCAGAGAAAGACCCCACTCGACTCTCCAGCACGAGAAGTGTTTCCACTTAGCTAAGTAGGTCGCCCTGATAGAGTGTTTTCTACCTATCAAGACCTGCTGCACCTGTTCAGAGCACACTCACCCCTCCAGATTCAGCCATGCAGCAGCCCTGCAAGGTTCAGATAGAGGTGCCATCCTTGATCCTGTGAGATTAAGGCCGGTCTGAGTGGGAGAGTCCACGGGATTGCGACTGCAAGGTCCAGGAGCATGCTGAACCAATGCTGGCGAGGCCACGCCGGAGCGATCAGGATGACCTTTCCCTTGTCTGCTTTTATCTTCAGGAGCACCTTGTGAACCAGAGGAATTGGTGGAAAAGCGTACAGCAGGCCATCTGACCATGGACGGAGGAAGGCATCGGATAGCGCGCCCCTGCCCAGGCTGAGTCTCAAGCAAAAGAGGTGACACTTCTTGTTCTCTGCTGTGGTGAACAGATCCACCTGGGGAGTCCCCAACTGCTGGATAATCTCCAGGTGGAGAGACCACTCGTGGTGAGAGGAGAAGGACCTGCTGAGGCAATCTGCTAGAATGTTCTGTTCCCCTGGGAGGTGCATGGCCTCTATGTGGATGGAATGTGTGACGTTGCACTCCATATGCTTTATGGAAATATGCTTATGAATATGACATAACTGGAATATGTTTTATGCTAAATACCCCTTGTATGGTGTCATTAGAAAACTTATAATTTACTAAGTGTGTTCATTTTATTTGTTTGCATGTATTATTTCTATATTTGGAGTTAGGAGAATAAGATATAAACTTGTATCACTGATGTAAACATATTAAGTAGAACCCATTAAGGGTGCTCCAGAAACAATCAGTTGTAAATGGCCTTAGTTACTTGAAAGCCTTCCTGTGTAGTGTGGGCCAGCCCATGGGGAATGGAGACTAGAAGTCTTACAGTGACATGTGACCATGTTGTGACAGTGTACCCCATAAGGCTTTATGGGGGGTGTGTGCTTATAAATGTATGTATGACATAACTGGAATATGTTTTGTGCTGCCTGTGCCATGTAATATATCTCCGTAAAGGTTATGGTCTACTATATCTATTCATCCTATCTGTACACATATATCATTTTCTACTTGAGGTTAAGAATATGGGCTGTATGCTT